CTTCCACGCGGAGTAGTTTTGTCCCGTGAAAATCGGTACCGCCGACGTGTCGAACATCGTCGCGGTTGCCCAGGGTTCGCCGGAATTTACAACGACACCATCCAAGGAAGTGCGGGAGGCCTCGCTTGAAGTCATCATGCGTGCTCCTTGTCGCGCGCGTAGACTCCTCCGACCAGCTCTGATACCACTGTTGTAGAGGACTCTCCTCTACTTTGCAGGAACTGGGAGTTGTTCTAAACGATAGAGCTCTGTCTTAGCTTTCCAACGAGCCGTCAAACACGTCGATCGCCTAAGTATTCTCCGAGATATAGGCGTTCACGTGCTAGGTGGTGCTCTTGAATGCAAGTAAAGAAGCTCTCTGGAATTTGTGTTCGAATGTACCTTGTACAAAGAACTCTGAGTTTCACTATGATGGCATGCAATACAAAGAAAACAGATTTATAGCATGCAAACAAGATCGAATCGCACAAGTAACCTCGAACCGCTACACTCGCGAATGTTCGAGTAACATCGAAAGGGTGAAATTCGACTCTCGAATTTCACCGATCCGAATTCTCCTTGGGTCTCGAATGTTCCTGGTGCTGCCATGTGGCACCGAATCGAATGGGTCTTCCGAAGTCAATCCTCAACCCCACGCAAACCTGCAACTCACTCGAAGGTGAGCACAAGTCACACATTCGGTGGGTTGGGGGCATACAAACGCCCCACCACCACCTTGCTTCCAACACACGTAATCTCCAACATCCTCTTCCTCGTCCTCCTTTGCTCACCCCTTATTGCGACAATGATTCCAAAATAGAACCAGGAGCAGATAACAGACGAGGCAACAAGCAAGCTGACACAACACAGTTAGTTGCTCCATAATTCGCACAGAGCAGTCGCAGCCTGCAGGCAAAGCGGCAGCTATGGCTTCGCGTTGCAATCGAGTGGCCACTCACAGGGTAGCGAGGCTGGTGAGCTGGTAGAGTACTGATGGGATGCTTTGGCTTAAGCCTGTGATGGCGCTGTTGTGGGCGGTGTGAGGGGGGGGAGGGGGCTGCTGATCATACGCACGAATTGGGCCATGGGTGAGCATACCTGAGTGCACAGATGCGTGTCTGCGGGTGGATGTGCGCATGTGTCTGTATGCATGTGCGTGTACGCGTGTGCATGTGCGTGTGTGCATGTGTGAGTGTGTGCATGTGTGTGAGCATGTGTGTGTGCGTATATGCGCATGCACACAGTGAGAACAGTTCAGCTTAGGCACAATGAGGTCTGCCTCAATGATTCCTAAAAAAAAAAAAAAAAAAACTGAACACACACACACACACACACACACACACACACACACACATACACACACACACACACACACATATACACACACACACACACACACAGAGACAGACAGACACACAGACAGACAGAGAAACAAAAAACAAAAACAACAACAACAAGGAATACAGAGAGAAGGGGAGCAATACATGAGTACGACGGAGCCGCTGTCGTCGCAAACAAGGCTTTTACTCCCCCGAGGAAACCCGCAGTCAGCTGCTTCGCTGGGCCACGCGTTAGACTCAGCAAACGGGCCAGCGCTGAGAAGAAACTCCTTCACGATGGGATCTATGGCAGGCAAGAGGACAAGTGCACCGGAGAGGAGACAAACGTTAGTTAGCCAGGACAGAGCAGTTCCATAAGTATTCAACTACATGAGTGGGTGCGTGCACGCACGGTGCCGCCACAGCCGTCCTAGGTGATGCGCAGTGCAGAGGGATCAGGACGTTCGGCATGTGAGAGAATGGCATGTGAGGGAATGGCATGTGAGAATGGCATGTGAGAATGGCATGTAAGAATGGCATGTGAGAATGGCATATGAGAGAATGGCATGTGGGAATGGCTTGCAGAAAAAGCAAGCCACGCTTCCCACCCACTCCAGGTGCTTCGGCAGATGGCTTACCCTGGGCAGCGTTGATGACAGTGGCGGCGGCTGTGAGCGAGTGGCATGGGACTGCTCCCGGAGAGGGGGAGATCAGGCATGGCGGTGATGGCGCCAGGAGCAGAGACAAGAGGAAGAGAGCACGCAGCACACAAGCATGGTGTGCTGGTGTGAAGTGTCGCGTTGAAGGTACTGCTGCTGCGGCTGCTGCTGACGGCAAACCCGAATTCCAGCATTCCTTAGCTCTTCCTACCCTTCCGTTCTCCCCCTTCGTTTCTGCTCCCTCATTGCTACACTTAACCCAACCCAACCCATCATTCTCTTCGCACCTTCCCGCCACCGTCATAGCTGCGCGCGTCGAAACCACAAGACCGTTCTGCAACGGTGAGGGATGGACGGACGCGTAGACGATGAAGAAGATTATGATGAACTAGTAGTAGCCCCAGGGGTTTGCTCGACCTGATGTTAGTTATATTTTCAATAACACATGTCACAAATGATTATACTAAACGGTTGATTACTATAATCAATGTTGATATCTTCTTACTACTAGGAGAGCTCCCTGGGACACATCATGTCATCCCAGGGTCGGACCAGACACTTGACTTGGCAATGTCCAGCCCGTCGGCGGAGGTTACTAACCTACTTACTAAGACCTCACCTCGTGTCTCTGGTCGTGGTCGGCGTGAGAAGCGGGCCACATCGACACGCTGAACCGGCTAAACACGAACAACTGGCTACTAGTACACTACTACTGCCACTCCTGCTCTGCGCGGGAGCTGCACTGATAGACTCTGGCGCAAGGCAGCAGGCTAGAGAAACAGATGCAAAATGCTGCCGCCGTGCTACACTTTGATGCCCTGTCCCCCGTGTTTTTCAAGTTAATGCTCCTCACTCGCGCACTCTAGTCTCGTGGGCAGAAGGGGCTTGTACATACTGTACTGGGGTTACCTGGTGTGCAGATTTGCATGGAAATCACGGATCAACAGTTTTTGTCCGTCTGGCCGTGAAAAATGCTTGTGAAAGTGTACGTACCGCGGATAGCAGTAGCCGACGGTTATGCTATACACTGTTAGTGTGAACAATATTTCTTTTGCCACTGCCCTTGATTACCGCTATTTCATAAAGAAAATAGCTCTCTCCATGAAATTTGCTTCCCCCTTTCACTATGCTTGTCGCTTGTGCAATTCAGCAAGGGTAACTACACGCAGACGTTGATCACACAGTCGGCCAGCCCTCCCTTCGTCATATATTTTAGAGGTGTTACCAACATTTCTTCACTTTCTCACTACAGTCCAATTATTTTTCCCGTGGCGAAGTTGGCGAGGCAAGCGAAACGCTTGTGCTCGCGAGGCTGGAGGTCGGCCCCCGACCCACGCCCCCCCCCCCCCCCCTCCCCCCTCCCCCGTCCCTCCACCTACGGACTGGGCCCCCTGTCACGCGCGCCACTTCCCCGGCCCAGCTGAACACTTCCCCGTCCACACGTTCGGCTGTACACGTGTAGCACATTGCATCAGTATTGCGCCTCGGCGTGTCAGAATCCCAACCACTAGACCATTGGGATAAAAGGGCTTTTTTAAGTAGCGGGTCAGTGCGCCCATAACCCCCCAGGCCAACGTGCCTGTAACCCTTTCCTAGGATCAATCGGGGATCACCAGTGGACCTCTGACACCCCCCCGCACTGGGATGCCCGAAGTGCATACACCGGGATTCGAACCCGAGACCTTCCCTCTGATACCATGTCAGAATCCCAACCACTAGACCATTGGGATAAAAGGGCTTTTTTAAGTAGCGGGTCAGTGCGCCCATAACCCCCCAGGCCAACGTGCCTGTAACCCTTCCCTAGGATCAATCGGGGATCACCAGTGGACCTCTGACACGGCGAAGCGTACGCAAAGTACAATCTCAGGCGAAAATACATGACGCGCCTCGGTGAAGCGTACGCTAAACGAAAACACTCAGGCGAAAATGCATGACGCAGGGCAGAAATTCGTGCTGCGACGAGAGTACCCGTCGTTGACCTACCTGAGCGCAACAAAGTGACTCGCGAAAGCACTCTTCGACTGTAGCAGTCGCACACGCGCGATAATTTGCGCGGCCAATTCGCACATCGACGGCTCTGCCTGAATGTTTCCGTAGCCCGTAACATCATTTTCGGCTGCACTATAAAGCACGCAGAACTCTAAAGCCATCGTAAGCAGGAAGTTGATATATCACATCCACTACACACGATGCCCGTTTGACTAACCCAAGGTTGCCTTGTGAAGAGGGCGTTTAAGTGATTCTGAGAATTTCGCAAATTTCGTCAACGTCGCATCTAGCAAAAAGGGGCTTATAAAAATTTTGTAACTCCCAGTTGACATTTTGACTTCAGTCTCTTCCGTGTGACTTCGGTTTCTGTGGTTCGTATTGGCTCATAACACTGCAACTTGCTCGAGGAGCTTGTAATGTGGGTGCAACTGGCTGGTAAAAAAAACACGGGTGCAGAATTTCTATTTTGGGCAGGGCAAATTCGCGCGCAGGGGTTGAGCATCTTGTGTACATTGTTTCTTTGTCATGCACATTAACTTCGTGATACCATCTAGTCAGCACGTGCATGACGTCGTCGTGCATGCAACATATGTTGCACCAATTATGTAGAAACCATGTGCGCGTGTACGAATCATGTGTTGCATGTGCACTCAGAAAAATATCTCACGCATGAGGATTAAAGCCCAGCACCCGAATTACAAAGCCGATCACAAACTGGGCCCATTTTGCGAAACCGTACCTGGGTAGACTGTGCACCCGCACCTGGGTGGTTACCGGATTTGCCCTGGTTGGTTTCTCCTGTGAGTGGGAAGCATTGCGTGGCTTCGTCCACCCACTCGCGGGCATAGAACTTGGACCCAGTTTGGTTGTAATTCGGGTAAAGCTGTGGTAGATTTTTTCAGCATAATCTCCCGTTAGTCCACATGTCGCGGCCAGGAACACCTCCAGCCTTAGTAAACTACGGACCTTACAACGTCTCTAAGCGTGTGGCTATGTTTAGGGTTTAGCGGGTCAGTTCCCGAGCGTTTTCTAACTTGACCGACACTCGGGACAGATGATCATACGACCGGCAATCGTAGCAAGCGGGTCGTAATCCACTCCCAAGGTCAACCAATAGTATTTCTTTGCACAGTCCCATCCCCCGTCACTCCGTTGACCAGATTTCGCCATTAGACACTACCACATCATCGCGTCTTCTTTCCACACGGGCGACGACGTAGGCAGCACAAGCACGTGGATGCCGGCTTATCTCCTAACCCCATCATCTCCTCGCCGTCGCATGGTGGCCCCGTCGCGTTTACTGACGACGTTTCCTCGACGTTGCGTTTCCTCCTGGTCGCGTTTCCTCCTCCTCGCGTTTCCACATCGTCGCAATTCCTCCTGGTCGCGTTTCCTCCACGTCGTGACTCCTCCGCGTCTTCATTCCCTCCCTGTCGTGTTTCCTCCCCGTCGCGTTTCCACCCTGTCGCCTTTCCTCCCGTTCGCATTTCCTCTCCCGGTCGCATTTCCTCCCGTTCGCATTTCCTCCCGTTCGCATTTCCTCTCCCGTTCGCATTTCCTCTCCCGTTCGCATTTCCTCTCCCGGTCGCATTTCCTCCCGTTCGCATTTCCTCCCTTTCGCATTTCATCTCCCGTTCGCATTTCCTCTCCCGTTCGCATTTCCTCTCCCGTTCGCATTTCCTCTCCCGTTCGCATTTCCTCTCCCGTTCGCATTTCCTCTCCCAGTCGGGGGTCCAACCCCGTCCTTTCTCCTTCCCGTCGAATACCCCGTCGCGCCTCCTCCCTTGTTCCTTCTCCATCCCTTTCCCGCCTCCACGCTTCCTCCCCGTCGTCTTTCCTACCCGTCTAATACTCTTTTGCGATTCCGCTCTCATTCAACATCCATCCCTTTTCCCCCGTCCTCCCTCCCTTGATCCCTTCCTCCCCATCTCCATTCTTCCGCTCCGCTAGTAATTCCTTCCTCCCCATCTTCCTTTTTCTCCACGCTCTCCTCTTCCTTTCCAACGCTCCCTCGCGGACGCGCACTCCCCTCCGTCCCCCACGCTCACTCCCCTTCCGCCCCCCACGCTCACTCCCCTTCCGTCGCCCACGCTCACTCCCCTCCCTCGCACACCTTGACTCCCCTCCGTTCCCCTCGCTCACTCCCCATCCCCTTTCCTCCCCATCCCCTTCTCTCCCCATCCCCTTTCCTTCCCATCCCCTTCTCCCCCCATCCCCTTTTCTCCCCATCCCCTTTCCTCCCCATTCCCTTCTCAAACCCATCCCCTTCCCTCCCCATCCCCTTCTCTCCCCATCCCCTTTTCTCCCCATCCCCTTCTCTCCCCAGCCCATTCCAACCCCACCCACACCACATCCCTTCACCGCCTTCCAAGTGTCGCCCATCCACCCCTCCTCCCTACCTTTGTTGACTCTCACTTCTGTTTTCATAAGCCTTTCCCCCCACCCCTCACATATCCCCTCTGTGTAGTAACATCCGCGACGTCGTTGACTTCTCCCGTGCCGTTGTGCTCATTCGTGCCTTGCACCACCCCACTGGTTCCCGCCTTCTCAGGACCCCACACTCTCTTGCTGCTGAAAGCAATCGGGTCCTATCCTCATGGGCCAGGATGGAGGACCTCCACCTCACCCCATGTCCCCCTCACCCCATGTCCCCCCCACCCCATGTCCCCCTCACCCCATGTCCCCCTCACCCCATGTCCCCCTCACCCCATCTCCCCCTCACCCCATGTCCCCCTCACCCCATCTCCACCTCCTCGCATCTCCACCTCACCCCATCTCCGCCTCACCCCATCTCCACCTCACCCCATCTCTGCCTCACCCCATGTCCCCCTCACCCCATGTCCACCTCACCCCATGTCCCCTCACCCCATGTCCCCCTCACCCCATCTCCCCCTCACCCCATGTCCCCCTCACCCCATCTCCACCTCACCCCATCTCCGCCTCACCCCATCTCCGCCTCACCCTATGTCCCCCTCACCCCATCTCCCCCTCACCCCATCTCCGCCTCACCCCATCTCCGCCTCACAAACTCTCCCCCTCACCCCATCTCCGCCTCACCCCATCTCCGCCTCACCCCATGTCCCCCTCACCCCATGTCCGCCGCACCCCATGTCCGCCTCACCCCATCTCCGCCTCACCCCATCTCCGCCTCACCCCATCTCCGCCTCACCCCATCTCCGCCTCACCGCCTCACCCCATCTCCGCCTCACCCCATCTCCGCCTCACCCCATCTCCGCCTCACCCCATCTCCGCCTCACCCCATCTCCGCCTCACCGCCTCACCCCATCTCCGCCTCACCCCATCTCCGCCTCACCCCATCTCCGCCTCACCCCATCTCCGCCTCACCCCATCTCTGCTTCCCTCGTCCAAACCTATGCTCTCCCCACTCATCCTCTTCCCAGCCCTCCTCTCCCATGCATCTAATCCCCATCCATCCTGTTCCCATCCCTCGTTTCCCAATCTAGCCTGTCCCCATCCCTCCTCTCCCAATTCCTCCTCTCTCCGTCCCTCCTCTCCCAATTCCTCCGCTCCCCATCCCTCCACTCCCCATCCGTCCTCTCCCCGTATCTCCTCTCTCCATCTATCCTGTCCCCATCCCACCTCTCCCTATCCCTCCTCTTCCCATCCCTCCACTCCCAATTCCTCCTCTCCCCCTTCCCTTCTCGCGCCATCACTGCTCTCCCCTTTCCCTCCTCGCTCCATCCCTCCTCCCACATTGAGTGTCGTGCCTTCACACTCAACCTTGTATGTCACCTCCCACTATGCAACTGGGATCGCAATCATCGCATGTTTCCTTCCAGATTGTGTCTCCTGCCACTCTCCCCCACACTCTCCCACACTCTCCCCCACTCTCCCCCACTCTCCCCCACTCTTCCCCCTCTCTTCCTATTGGAGCAAGGCGGTCCTTGTGGCTCTCCCCAGCAAGTGACGGAACCCCTTCCCTTCTCCCCAAGTTACCTCCCCTTCCCTTTTCCAATTCTCGCCTCTGTCCAGCCATGGAAGCGCACGTTGCGCGTCAGCAATATATATTTGATCGTGATGTTTGCATGCGTCAAAGGAAATGTTACTGGTACACGGGGAAACGCATCTCTTTCGCAAGTATAAAAGCCAATTTTCGTTGCCATGTGATCTTACGTTGTGCATGTCGAAGCAATGATCTGTGATGTTTGCATGTTGAGCACCGTATATTACACATAGATGGGGAAATGCACATTGTGCACGAGAGACGGATATGTTTTTTAGCGTCATGAAAACACACGATGCGCATGGCGAGGAAGAATATAGTGATGATTTTCGCATGATTGAACCATGTGTCACACATGCACGATTACAAAAATGGTTTTCCTTGTCAAGAAAGCGCACATCGCTCATGAGAAATTTATATTTTATTGCGATGTTTGCGTGTGTCAAACCATATCGTACTTGTGCATGGGGAAACCCAACTTGTCTGCGAGGATAAAAAAACGTTTACCGCGACATGAGAACAGACGCTGCGCCTGAAAAGGGCACTTGCCAGTGATTGCGTAAAGAGAACCATATGTAATGGTGAAACACATCCTTGTTAGAATGTATATTTTTATATATAACTACATGCTGAATATTTAGTGTAGTATCATGTTAGTTTTCTATCTATTGGTGGTGTACCCCAGAGCTGACGTTTCAGATTTAGCCTCGCTGAATTATGGGAAAACAATTTCCTTCTAGTCTGAGTGCACATTTTTCTGCGAATCGTTACTCTGATTGCTCAGTGTTGAAAGAGTAATACTCTGACGGAGCAGGGTTCAATAGGCTAAATCAGAGTTGCTGCCTCAAAAGTCTTCATTGCATTATGGTTGTTTCTAAGGGACACAACAATTGGCAGCTGATCTAAACTACACCTTTAGTGCACGGGCTTGTCAATATGGTAAGTCTCCTCCACATCCTCGTCGTCCGACAGGAAGGGGTTATCCTCATCTTCCTCCTCCTCCACGAGCTCCTGATCATCGTCCACTTCCTCCTCTTCCCCCTCATCCTCCCCCTCGTCATCCTTGTTCGGCTGGATCGCGCCTGCCTCATCCTCCTTGGATTTCCCCTTTCTCTTGCGTTCTGCCACAGCGACTGCCGTACTCTTCACAGGGCACCTCCTCTTCATGGACTTCAACACCTCGAAGGCTTCCGGCCAGTCGATATCGTACTTCAGGAGCGAAATCTGCATCAGCCCCCCCAGCCGCGCGTTGCAGAGCGCCCTTGTGAAGAAGTGTAAACATCGGAATGGATTGGACTAAAAGAATGAGAGTACAAGTAGGAAGCCCTAGAAAGTTGCACCCCCCTAAAGCTAGCCCCACTCTAGCCTAACAATGTATAATCATGCAGTTTTGACACACCCCCATAGGCGAAGTGCGGGAGAGCAAGCACAGCAAACGGTCATAAGACCAGTCAAGAGAAGCAACAAAGCAAAGCTCAGGGTGGATCTCAAGATCACCACACAGTCCCAGCACAAAAAAGTGAGGCAAAGTAGGCACAAGGCCTAGAGCAGTGCAGAAACGCTGATGATCACCAGACCCTAGGGCCTTTGTGAAGATATCAGCTGTGTTGGCCTGTGAGGTCACGTAAGCAAGGCGAGGCTGACCGCGCTGCTGTAACTCTCGTGCGATCAAGTAACAAAGAGCAATATGCTTCGTTCTGTCCTCCAGTCTCTGCTCCCGACACAAGGCAATCATGGCCTTGTTATTGTCAATGGGAGTTGTGGTTGGCCCCGTCTTTGCTTGGGCAGAGCCGACTTCGTGGTCGGGTGTGAGGAGTGAAACCGACCTGCAGCAGTGGGGGAGCTGGTCGACGGGTCTGGTCAACCTGCACGGGGGCCACTGCAAGGGCGCCGACTTTGGGAGGGCGCCAACTTCGGCTGGTCGACTTGGGAGGTCGACCAGTAGAGGGCGTCGACTTGGGTGACGTCGACCAGGGGAAGCCGACTGGGTGTAGTCGGCTGACAGGTGTGATGGTCGACCTGGGGTTGGTCGACCAGGTGGGTTGTCGACCTGGAGCTGGTCGACCAAGGTTGTGGTCGACTTGGTGAGGTCGACTGAAGGTGGTCGTCGACTTGGGAGGTCGACGGGCACACGAGGAAGCAGCTGGTCGACATGGTGGTTGCCCGGTCGACCGGGTTACCTGGGTGACAAGGTTCTGCAAAGGAGTGCGACGGTCGCCCAGGTGGTATTGGGGAGATCGACCTCGGTGGTGGTATCCCGAGGTCGACGTGGCTGATCAGGTGGAATCGTCAGCACAAGGACGACTTGGTGTGTGCGTTGTGCAGGTGACAAGGCACTGCACACCAATCATCTGCGAGCACCTGCGAAGTAGGTGCGCTACTGTTCTGCAGGAGCAACGCTGGCACGCCGTCGACCTGCAGCGTTGGCACGCCGTCGACTTTGCACTGCTGGAGCGCGGTCGACCAAGTCGTGCTGGAGCGCGGTCGACCGTGCTGCGCTGGCAGTCGACCTGCTTGCATGCTAGCTCTGATGTAGCCTTGTCTTGCCAACCTTGTTGAACCATTGTTGTGAACTTTTTGCTAGTGAAACTCTTGCCAACTTTCCCCGTGAACCAGCAAGTAGTGCAAGCACAAGCAAACGACTAAGGAACGAACGCAGAGATCTCTCGTACCCTTTGCCTAGCCCGTAGTCTAGCTCCCGTTGATAGAGTTAACTCCGCAGTAATCGATGTACAGAACTGGAGGAGAACGAGGCTGCTCACCCAAGTCAGTTAGCAAGTAGGTCAGCCAGCGTAACTCCTGTGCAGCTATAGCCTCAACGTAGATCTCGGCCTCACAGCTCGAGCTAAGCACAGAAGACGAGCGAGTGGACCTCCACGAGACAGAACCAGTGCCGAGACTGAAAGTGTAACCTTGTGACGACCGTTGAGTCACCTAGTCGTCAGCCCAAGAAGCGTCTGAGTGCCATGTGAGCACAACTGGACCCTGTCCCCCAAGCACAAGCCCCATGCTTGATGTACTGCACAAGTAACGCAGTACCCTCGTAGCAGCCAGGTAGTGCTCGGGGCGGTGTCTCCCGGGCGCAACGTAGCGCGCCAGGATGCTGAGAGGGTACGCGAGGTCAGGTCGAGTGCACGTCATCAAGTACATGAGGCAGCCCACAAGCTCTGGATACAGACCACTCGGCTCTACGGACTCGTCCGAAGGTGGAGCTAAGAGCGAGTGGCAGAGGAGTGGACTGTGGCGAGGAGAACTAAAAGCCGAAGCACTGAACAACCTACTGCACCACGTGTGACTGAGTCAGAGTGATAGTGCGCGATGCTCTGTCCCGGGTGATCTGCAAGCCAAGATAGCTCCGCAGCTCACCCAGGTCAGTGCAAGTGTGGCTCTTCTGCAGCTCCACCTTCACAAGGGCCAGTGCCTCAGTGTCAGCAGTCACAAAGACCAAGTCGTCGACGTGCACGAAGATGTAGAACGACGATAGAGAAGGGTCTGTGCGCAGAAACAGCGACGGGTCAGCAGTCGAAGGAGCATAACCAAGAGCGGCAAGTGTCGTCCTCATTGTGTCGTGCCACTCACGGGGCGCCTGACGCAGACCGTAGACTGGCCGCCAGAGGCTCCACTGGGTACCCTCAGGAAACGACCCAGTGAAGCCAGGTGGGTGGCGCAGCCAGATCTCCTGGTGAAGGCTGCCCTGCAAGAAAGCTGTTGAGAAGTCAAGGGAGTGCAGCTCGTAGTCACGCTGTGCTGCAACGTACAGTAACACCCAAAGAGTGGTCATCTTTGGGGTGGGGGAGAAGGTATGGGAGAATTCGGCCCCCTGACGTTGACTGAAGCCTCGTGCAACGTAACGCGGCCTTGAAGACAGGCGGAGAACCCGGCGGTCGCTTCACCCTGAAAATCCACATGCCATCGACTATGTTCGCTCCAGGAGGGGGAACTGCGTCAACTTAGGTAACCGTGGACTTCCAAGAAGCCATCTCTACGTCCATGGTTGTCAGCCACTGAGAGGAGTACTAACCCGTGATCGCCTCTGCGTAAGAGCGCAGGGTCGGGATGTCCAGTGCATCCGGGTCTCCCTCAGGGGCAAGCAGCATGGCAGCGAGATGAGGTACAGCAGCCGCGAGGCACTCCAGCTCAAACTGCCTGTCCTCAAGGACGACACTGCCAAGAGCAAGCTCACCCCCGACGGACGGAGGACAGCCAGACTCAGAAACAAGACTCGCAAAGTAGTCAAGGCGACAGGCAGCAGCAAAGTCAACGAGCTCAGTGACTAAGGCAGACGCAGCAGCATACTCAAACGTAGGGTCAGTGACAAGTGAGGCTAGACAACGGGTGACAGTAGGACTAGAAGCATGAGCAAGGTCAAACTCAAGGTCGGGAATGTCAGGAAGAGAGGACGCTGTGCAACAGAGGAAGGACGAAGTGTCATAGTGTGAGTGCCGAGGACAGGTGGTGGACGAATACGGGGAGCACATCGAGTACGAGCAACAGGCGATGCAAGGCGAGACTCAGGCTCTCGACACTCAGTGAGGGAGTCTGTCAACGGAGTGAAACGAGAAAGAGCAGGCAGTGGGGAGTCAGGCGGTAACTGTGTTTGAGACTGGTCAGGAGGCAGAACAAGTAGAGGAGGAGTAGGACCAGCGACAGACGGCTCTGCAGAGGTAGACAGAAGACGGAGAACCTAGTGAAGTGCCGAGCCAGGTGGGGGTATCGACGCCTCCGGCTGCTCCCAGAAGAACGGATGCTGCCGCAGCGGCTGCACAGCACCCCCAGAACCAGCTCCTCCAGTACCGCCGGCACCATAACCCCCAGCACCTCTAGCTCCAGTACCTCCAGTACCTCCAGAGCCAGCACCACTGGCACCTCCAGCTCCAGTACTTCCTGCTCCAGAACCGCCAGCACCTCCAGCTCCAGTACCTCCATGACCTCGTGCTCCAGTACCTCCAGATCTAGTACCTCCAGCACCTCCAGCTCCAGTACCTCCAGCACTAGAACCCCCAGCACCTCCAGCGTCAGTACCTCCAGCACCAGCGCTTCCAACATCTCCAGCTCCAGGGCCTCCATCTCCAGCACACCCAGAACCTCCAGCCACGGACACAGGAAGTGACAGCGACGACTGCTGCTCCTCTGCAGACGCTGCACATGGACGTGTGGGGCCCCGCCCCCATCCATGGCGACTACACGCGCTACACCACGGTGTTTCCCTTGCAGCGCAAGGGCGATGTCCGTAGTGTTTTGGTCCCTTGGATCCACGCTGTTCGTCCCCAGCTGAGAGCACGCTTCCAGCAGGACCTCCCGGTGCTGCGCCTGCACTCTGGCCGTGGAGGTGAGTTTTCCTCCGGCATCCTCGAAGACCTTTGTCGTAAGGAGGGCATCACCTAGTCGTTCACGCTTAAAAACTCTCCACAGCAGAATGGAATCGCTGAGCGCCGCATTGGCTTGATCATGGAGGTTGCTCGCACCTCCATGATCCATGCGGTTGCTCCCCATTTTCTATGGTCGTTTGCGGTCCGATACGCCGCGCATCAGCTCAACCTCTGTCCCCATGTCTCCAAGCCAGAGACCTCGCCTACACTGCGTTGGACGAGGAAGGTTGGCGATGCATCGGCGTTTCGGGTCTCGGGTTCGCTTGCTCTTGTCCGCCATACTACTGCGGGCAAGCACTCTCCTCGCACCATTCGCTGCGTCTTCCTTGGCTTTCCCACCGACGCGCTTGACTGACAGTTTTACCACCCAGCCACACGTCGCGTCCTGTCCTCCCACGACGTCACCTTTGACGAGTTGGTCGGCTACTACCGTCTCTTCCCCCATGCGCCTTCTCCTGTCCCCCCGCCACCCCTCTTCCAGGTTACAGGTTACCCCCCGGTAGACCCCCACCACCCCAAGGCAGCGCGGGCGCGGCAGAGCAGCGCAGCGCGCGGCGGCAGGGCAGCGGGCGTGCGGCAGGGCAGCACGCGCGGCGGGTCAGCGCGCACGGCAAAGCAGCTGCGCGCGAGGCAGCGGCGGCAGTTCAGCGCGCGCGGGGAGGTGCGGCGCGCGGGGCAGTGGCGGCAGAGCAACGCGAGCGGGCAGGCGCGGCGCGCAGGGCAGCGCACGGGCATGCACAGCAGGGCGGCGCATGGGAAGGCATGTCGCACGGGCAGCTGCGCGCGAGGCAGCGGAGGCAACGCAGCGCGCGCGGGCAGGCGCGACGCGCGGGGCATCGGCGGCAGGGTAGTGCACGCGGG